TTTTTTTATCAGAAATCGAAAGGGGGAGGGTCAGGACCCCCCCCCCCTCCGATACCCCTCTAAATCCGCCACTGTTCTCATACTCGGTATTTTCATATCGTCCTGTTTGACACTGGTTTGATGAGGGACCCATGGCGTATTTTCATTACCCTTGAAAGCCACTTTTTATTTCCTGTGTATGCATGTATGAACGTAAATAATCCAAATCCGAAGACTCTTGATGCAGCTTTTTTTATTCTTTGTTTCTCGTGTTCAACTTAACCATTATATTCTGCATAATCGTTGATTCGTGTTTTTCAACTCGTAGGGCAATGTAATTCCTGCGTTTTCGACGAGTTATGAATAAATAAAGTTTTATTTAATGTGAATTGTGAATTGATAATTTTATTTCCCGTGATCTGTGATCACCCCCCCCCCCCTTCCCCCCATGGGATCTCCTTTGAATAAGGCCTACCTCAAATGCTCGTATGCATTTACATTTACAACTATTGCTTTATTTTGAGTCAAGGACGTCGGTAATTTTTGTGTCTCGTCAGGGGCGGATTGAAGCCGTATTCTAGGTCTATTTCTTTCTGTCGAAAGACGGCCAAAAATGGAGGATGATCAACAAAGTCGTTTTGGTCATATGTGTCTTTTGACCTTTACAACATGAAAAGTCACGCCTGAAGACTTAAGGGAAGGTCAATAATCACTGATAACTAGTCAAACCGACCATATGGCGTATCGTTTTAAAGTGGCATTCACACACCTTGCCACGGATCAGTAGCGAACCAATGTGGAATAAAAAAATAGACAAATCATATACATTTCGAAGGACATGCTGCCACAGACCTTGTAATAGACTATAAGTGGAAAGTAAATTGAAAAATACCGTGGATTGAGTTACAAGGTACGGGTACCTCGATACAGCTTTATTTGACTGATAAATTGGGTTCCCATACTTAGATCGATTCATCTGGATCGACCTAACTCCCTGGGGATTCACGCTAAATTGCTCAAGGGGTGTAAATGTCTGTCAGCCCTACCGAATCAACTAGGATAAAGATAATTACCCCATAACAGCTTTACTAGGCGTGACAGTCATTTAAGCCAGTTAAGTTCATCGCAATTTATTGAGACTCCAAAGGGAGATAGATCGATCCAAATATTTGTGGGAATGGTCCCATTGACACATCCCCGAAAACGACGTGTAAACGTGCCTTTGTTATCATTATCATCCGTCCTTGACCACTGGGAACCGTTGTGCCCCCTCTGGGGTTTATCCATGCGACCGGACAAACTTTTAGACAGTAGTGTATATAACATTGCGGGATGACGAACATGTATCTGGCATTGAGTGCACTGTTATGTGGCGCGTTTTTCGAGGTAATGTAGAAAAAGGTAGGCCCTATTTTAGGCCTATCGATTAAATGTTTCATCGATTTTATGCTGGGATAGTCCTTGGTCTCTGTTATCAAAATTCATCGGTGCTTTTTTAACTGATATAACAAATGCGGTTCATATTTTAATTCTAAAGTAGCGGAAGCATGATACTTCTCATCCTTTCCCCGTTACCCACTCTTTTTAAAGTAGGCCCTACGTGTCCCATTTGTACCTAATTGTGCGGGACCAACGTGGCAGTGTTTCTTGGCACACGGACACTGCGTCAATTTTATAGCTTGCGCTATGTCCATGGTGATATGTCCCCCCACCCTTACCCCTTGATTTACATGTACTGTACATCTGACAACTTTTGTGGCGTTATTGCCGCAGTTTTATCCGATTATCCGTTTTCCGTAATCTTCCATGTATTTTTTATTTGTTTATTTATTTATTTTATTTATTCTGCCAAAAACGGCAATCTACTTGATTGCATTCACCTTTGTTTTTAGCTGGTAACGGAGACCGCAGCGCTGCCTCCCACGCTAGCCCCAACTGATCCGCCTCTTCCGTGTCTACCTTTCTGTGCGTCCGGGGACCCAACAATGGCTCCACCCACACCACCAAGTATGCCAACGACTACACCCTTCTGGTGGAATTGCCGTTTTCCTGACCAATCGAGACCTTGGGAACACTGCCCCAGTGGGAACTGTGTCGGACCAGGACTGAGGTATGCAGGCACGTGATCGTCAGCCCCCCTCCCCTTAGACCCCATCAACAATGATCGTTGCTCATTCAACGGAATTTTATTATTTTTTTCATGCACTCAGTAATGTTGAACAGACAAATTTTGACTCAATGGCTTAAAATTTTGTGACGACTTGGGTACATGTTCAAAGTGAAAATTAAAAAATTAGAACCTGAAAGTATAGTACGAGACGATTAAAGCATGCCATTGCGCTTTCAACTTTTATACAGCAAAATACTTGTAATGATAACCATAATAATTAAAGCTTTCCTACAAATTTCTACAATTTCAAACAATGAGAAAAATTTATGAACCCTATTTCGAATACTTAAGTGCTAATTTTCGTTTCACCCGTGAATTGCAGTCCCTCGATCTCTCTTCATTTTTGGTTGTAGCCAAACCTTCGAAAGCATAAGGGAAAGGTGCTGCAATCTCCAGTATAATCAAAAATTTTAACGTATAAAGGTCTAAAACTTACTGTGGGACTTTAATTTGATGGAGAGCCGCCATCTTCCGAATGCGTTTGAGGTGAGTTATTTCAATTGCATTAACCCACACCTGTCAATTCAGTCACAGTTTACGGACTTACCATCTCTTTCTCCAGGTGCGTCGACACAGAGTTAGTCATTATTCGTCCTCCCATTGAGCCGACGCCGCCTCAACCAACAAGGACAACCACGCCAGAGCCGACTACCCTCCCCGGTCCCATGCCGCCATTGCCTCCAATCCGTGCTAGGAGGTGTTCTCCCTACCCACAGTGGTACAAGTGTGTCCCCGTAGAGCAGATCATAGGATAGACGGACTTAACTATGGACTTGAGCCAGTGACGATCTTCTGGGGCATTCTTGTTTGAATTAAAATCTGATTTGTTTTATTAAAAAATACATTGTATAATTGTATTACAATAAATCGGATACATTTGGTAAGCGTTATTTTGTCTTTTTTTAGACAAATAAATCAAGACTCTCTGGCATGGAAGAATTCACTTTACTGCAATGGTTGAAGTGAAAGGGGTATTTATAGGATTACAGTCATTATAAGGTATCTAAGAATGCTTCTGCTCGGCATGGTATTACAATGCGCTCGTATGATGAACTGTACATTTCCTATAGCTATTAAAACAGTAAACAAGTAGCCTACTTCTAGTGCTACCTGTAAGACGACCATTTACGCAAGCCTCGCTTGGTTAGACGTGTATTCTGACATGCATTACACGGAAGGTCACAACTGAAGATTTAAGGGAAGGCCAATAATCACTGATAACTTTAAAAACCGAACATATGGCGTGTGGTTTTAAAATGGTATTTACACAACTTGCCATGGATCAGTAGTGAACCAATGAGGGATACAAATAAAACATACATATTTTATATGCATTTTAAAGACCCATGCCTCCACCAAACCTAATATGTGGAAATGAATTGAAATAAAATGCAGTATAAAATTGACTTGTGTGGAATCTCCATATAACGTTACTTGATTGATGAGCATCTACGAAGACGACGTCGACGTATAAACGTTCCCTTATTATTATCATCCATTCCTGACAGCTGGTTTATTCATGTGAGTGACGGTCTTGACGTGTTACGTGAAATGATGAACATGTATCTGGTATCGAGTGCGCTTTTATGTGGAATGTATTTCAAGGTAACGTAGAAATACGTATTTTTTTTTCTATTTTAACGTCTATGTTGGAAGAGTCGCAGGTGAGGTATATGTCACCAAAATTTCTTAATGTCTTAGAAAAGATGAAGACAGCATTTACTCCACAGCACTGACCGCTATCATTATTTAGGAATCATCTTAACAACGTTTCTTGTAACACTGACATTGCGTAATTAATTTGTTCCACGTCCATGTTGATTATTCTATGTTCTATGTTTCTTGACAGACGGATTGGGCAGTGCCTTTGCCCCCCCCCCCCCAAAAAAATGCATTTGACGACGGTGGTTGGGTTATTTCCAACAGATTTATCTCACCATCCTTTTTCCATAGGGTTTCTTTTTTAAGTCTCTTTATTACTAAATCTTGTTTCTATATGTTATCTTTTAAGAAGGGATCTAGTTGACAGCATTCACTTTCATTTTCAGTTGGTTACAGGAGCCGTAGTGCCACCCTCAACGACTAGACCACCAACAACCACAACCACCACTACTACAACAACAACAACACAGTTCTGTTGTCTTTGCTACTTCCCTGACGGAACTCAACCTTGGGAATACTGCCCCAGTGGGAAATGTGTCGGAGAAGGACTGAGGTAAGCGGTCACGTGATCGTCACACCCCGCTCAACAATCACTCTTGCTCATTTAACGGAATTTCACTAATATAACATATGCATTTTGTGCTACTTGATACTGCTTGGCACAGGCACACTTGGACTCATGAGACGATCGAGGTAAATACTATACTTAAGAACAATGTGAATACAATACTTAAATTATGCAAGATACCTTCACTGTTACTGTAACTGTTATGGTAAAGAGAGTTTCCTTTTCCCTCACCAGGTGCCTCAGCATGTATGGTAAGACGCCTCCACCAACAACGTTCTTTCGACAACGTCAACCACGCCATGGACGACTACCCTCCCCGGTCCCATGCCGCCATTGCCTTTAAGCCGTGGCAGGAGGTGTCAGCCGTATCCAAGGTGGTATCAGTGTGTCCCCATTGAGTACATCATAGGATAGGCATCCAGGGACTTGAGACAAATACGATCCTCTGGGGCATTGATATTTGAATGAATGGCTGATTTGTTAAATGAATGTGCATTGTATCACAATAAAGATAATATGTACATTTGCTACGCGTTACTTCGTTTATTTGAAATTACACTGAGAATTTGACAGAAAAAATCACTTTTTTGCAACGATTTAGGTGAAAGCACCCTGAGCTTCAGAGAGCTTACCCTTGGACATAATTCGTTATTATGTCCAACACTGCCCAGAACCTGACAGCTTTAAGGTATACTGTGATGAAAAAACGGGTTAAAACTATCCTTTAGGTGCCCAAAGTCTTCTGGGGCATTCTTGTTTGAATTAAAATCTGATTTGTTTTATTTAAAAATACATTGTATAATTGTATTACAATAAAGCGGATACATTTGGTAAGCGTTATTTGGCCTTTTTTAGACAAATAAATCAAGACTCTCTGGCATGGAAGAATTCACTTAACTGCAATGGTTAAAGAGAAAGGGGCATTTACCGGATTACAGTCATTTTAAGGTATCCAAGAATGTTTCTGCTCGGCATGATATTTACAATGAACTCGTATGATGAACTGTATATTTCCTATGAAAACAGTAAACAAGTACTTCTAGTGCTCCCTGTAAGACGTACATTTATTTACCCAAGCCTCTCTTGGCTGTACGTGAAGTCTGACATACATTACAACGAATGTCACGACTGAAGGTTCAAGAAAAGGTCAATAATCACTGATAACTTAAAAAACCGAACATATGGCGTAACGTTTTAAGTGGCATTCACACAACTTGCCATGGATCAATGCCAGATAAAAAGTAACACAATATGCAATTTTAGGCCCTACATATAAAGGACATATGCCTCCAACATGCAGATCTAATAAGTGGAAAGAAAATTTTAAAACACAGCATTAATTTAAGTGGTACAGGCATCTTGTTTATAGCCTTATTTTGCTGAAAATTATCCCTGAAGACGACGTATAAACGTTCCTTTGTTATCATTATCATCCGTCCCTGACGACTGGTTTATCCATACGAGAACAGTCTTTCAGACATTTATGTACGTAACATTGCTTAATGATGAACGTCTATCTGTTATTGAGTGCGCTGTTGTGTGGCGTGTATTTCGAGGTAATGTAGAGATATGTATTTTATAGCTTTAATGTTTTATCCATATTATGCTGGAATAGTCCTTGGTCTCTGTCAACAAAATTTCTTGGTGGTTTTCAATTGAAATATTATTGTGCGTTCAAGGACCAACGTGACAACGTTTCTTGACACTGGCGCTGCGTCAGTTTTTTAAACTGCTCCATATCCAAGGTGATTTTTTTTTATCTAAACCACACAGACGACGCTGCGTGATAGCGTTATCTTCCACTGTGGTCAACCAAGTGGGTAGATAGCTAGCCTTTCTTTGTTATACGGCCGACCTTTTCCATTGACGTTATCCTTTCTATACGTGCCACACACTTCCAGGTATATATATCAATAACATGAGCTGACTCGGCAGGAATAAAGGTTCCGTCACACCTAGCGTAAAGAGGTGCGTATGAGTAACGTAGAAGACGTCTATTATACGCACAACTTCGAGCGTATGAAATCACCATTTCCAGCGTATTAGAATGAAGCAGCATATGGAATTGATTTTGAATATACTCAAACATTTTATTTCCCTCTGGGTATTCGAACGTACACCGACGTTTGTCTGCGGACACGAGGCGAATACGACCTAAGGTCAGCGAATGGGCAAATACTTTTATGCTTTTGATCTACACGCTAGGTGTGACAGTGCCTTAACATGTCTTTACTTTCAGCTGGTCACGGGAACTGACGCGCCCTGGCCAACGCCAACGCCAAAGCCAACAACACCACCTTTCTGGTGGTATTGCAGATTCCCTGACGCAACTAAACCTTTCGAGCACTGTCGCAGTGGAAGATGTTCTGGATCAGGACTAAGGTATGCGGTCACGTGGTCATAATTCGTCACGTGTTCAGTGAGGAGTTTTCTGAGTTGGCCTACCGGTACACACCCGATGGGTTAAAATAAATTATTGAATTCTAAACTCAGCAACCAACCTTGTTCATTTGATGGGATACTTTACTTCATATTACATGATTGTTGACTAACGTTCCTCGTGGTTTTACTTAACACATAAATATAATTTCTCAGTAGATTATGTAGCATCGCGCTGCTTATTCATCTGATACCGTTTTGACAGGAATGGTTTTGCGCTAGGAGCCGTAGTCCGTTCCGAATTGATTTGTAAAAGTGTTATAATTAACCTTATATTACGACTAGCCCTATAGCCTGTACTGATCATATATGGGACCCTGGGCTTCCATCCTTGTACTTTATAGGACTGCTATTCCTGACGCGAAGGCAAATTCCGAAAGCGACGGAGGGGAGCTATAAAGTCATCCACCTGTCACATTAGTCACTGTTCACGGATTCTTCTTCTCTTTTTGCAGGTGTGTCAACATACATTCAGTTGTAACCCGTCTTCCCATAGAGACGAAGACACCGACTGGACCGACAAGAACTCCACCGACAAGAACTCCACCGACAAGGTCGACCACGCCATGGACGACTAAACTTTATGGTTATACGTCGACGCCATTGCCTCTATTCCGTGCTAAGAGGTGTACCCTTAGTACGTCCTTTCCATTGTGGTATCGGTGTGTCCCCGTAGAGTACATCATAGGATAGGTACATGTATCCCGGGACTCGGGACAGATACAATCCTCTGGGGCATTTGTCTTTGAATGAGTAGCTTATTTGTTAAATGAATGTGCATTGCATCACAATAAAGATAATATGTACATTTGCTTAGCGTTACTTCATTAATTTGAAATTGAACACTGAGACTTTGACAGGAAAAAATTACCTTTTTTGCAGCGATTTTGGGTGAAAGGGGTAGCTATAGAATTACAGTCACAAAAAGGTACGAATGAATACTGCTGCTTTTAAGCACGGTACTACTTGTGTGCTCATGTACATTTCCAATTAAAACAGTGAACACGTATTTCCAGTGCTGAAAGAAATCTCGCAAATAGGCAAATGAATAAAACATCAATACTGTTTCATATAAATAATTAGGATGATAAGCAATTAAGAATGAATAAATGAATAAGTAAGTGAAATGAATAAGTAAGAAAGAATGAATAAATGAATGAATAAGTAAGTGAATTTACTGTTACCAATTATTTTCATTCTTGTCTTGTCTTGCCGTACAATGTATGAATTCTTCAGCTCTCCTTGAAACCGATACAACACTGCCCGAACCTGACATGCGATGAGCACAAGCCCAAAGAAATTTTCAAACTCAGCTGTGACCGTAAACTCATCGTAAGGGGGCTTTAAGCCATCGCATGACAGTTGATGGAGTTTCTCAGGCTCCGGTAGGAGAGAGAATATCCGTCCCCTTGCCTACCCCCCCCCCCCCCCTCTCGCAGACGGGGGGGATGGGAGATGTGATAAAGTGCACGTGTAAATAGACATGTGTTGGAGGTCAATGTGAATATAATATCATTATAACTCAATTTACTGACGAGATGTGACAATGTTTACCTATTCTTGCTTCGGCAACGTATCCTATACTACGGCTGTGACTTACCAGAAGGTGAATAGATATGTGATTAATAATGAAAGTAAAGCACTGACGATATATTAACGAAATATTCATAAGGTCAAACCAGTAATTGATGTCAGAGGCGGAACACTCCCGCCATTAGCACAAAGGCACATATAATAGGCGGAATATATCTAAGCTAAGAAGTCAGACTGACTAACCTTCCTTCGCAAAGGCCCTGCAAGGATGTATTCGTATCGGCTCCCGCTTTGTGTAGCGTTAGTTACACTGTTAAGTTTCCAGGTAGTGGCATACTGGCAAAATCGACCCAGACCGCCCATGGTGAGTATAAAGTTGTTCCTATCTTGGACCAAAGATCAGAATGAACTGCGCCATTTTAATACCTTCAAATGTTTGTGCTTTTTAAGTAAATGTGTGTCTTCAAAATAATTCAAAGCAATTCTATTTACTTCCATAAAATCAAGTTGATAAGATATAAGACAAAAAGGACACGGAAAGTGTTTTATACCTATACGGTACACAATTTGTCAAGCAGAATAAAATTAATAAATGAATGAAACAATAAAGGGAAAAAAATTATTTGCCGTCTCCCCGAAGACATTACAAGACATTTGTTTCATATCTTGCTTGAACAATTTTTTTCTTCTAGTCTCCATTATACCCTGGGATACCACAGAATCATTACCAACACGTCTGGAATGTCTTAAATGTAACGTATTGCCATTAATTATGTAGTCACTCTAAACACTGATGTTTTGATTTATTAGTCATTAAATAAGCTAATTCGACTTCTTGTCACCTAATGAGATTACTTATTAACTTGTACGTTGTATTTTAGAATTATGCAGTGAATAACAGCTCTGGGGTAACGAAAGTGAGAGAAGACGGTTTGCTTCCGCAAAACACCTACATTTCTGCCGAGAATACCTTTTGAAAAAAGAAGGGAGGGGTCACCTGTCCCGTTGCCTTTGCCCTCAACATGATTAAATATATAATCTAGTAACTTTCTATTGAACAATTTTCTAACGTTCATTGTACCCCCGATATGTGTACCTGTTAAGTCTTTTTCAGGCACAATTTTACGGAAGGGCACGGAACAATCAGCGCAAGAACACAAGGGAAGCCGTGAATGTAATAATTTTTTCTGTTATGCTTGTCATGCCCGACCCTTAACGTATTCCTTTTCCGTACTTCCTGTCGCCACCCTGAGCTTCAGAGCTAACTTGACACTAACCTTTTCACTGTAGCCTATCTCCATCGTGTCAAGTAACCTCTGACGAAAATAGTTTGACCTAGTTTATATAAGCCAATCGAATCCATGTTTCAAAATTTTTCACCAAAGTTTGGTGAAAACGCTGATTGGTTGATCGTCAATCGGCAATCCTCGGCTGATTCCGCAAGCTCCATACTAACAACAAAGTTATTGTCGAGTGCGGAGACATCCGAGTAGTTCCGAGTGGTTCCGAGTGCATAACCGTACACAAAGAAAGCATGGAGTATATCGGAATTGAAACCAGAGCAGTATGATGCCCTGCATCATTATCTACTGAGGGATGATATATTTTGTGTGCTGCCCACAGGTTACGGCAAGTCCCTGATATTCAGCCTTATCTTTGATTGGTCCGGATTTGAACAAAG